ACTTTTGTGTCCTGCACTGCACCTAACGTTGATACTCATAAAGCAAACTGTTAAATTTTATCACATGGCTAACAACTTTCTCCCTCAATAATTTGACAACGTATGATACCGTACAATTTTTCTAAATAATAATGATACAATTCGCCTCCTCGTTTTGGAGACCTTGGGTTGGTAGGATATTTATTTATACTTGTTGAGCTCGAAAAGGGCATAAAGTTTTATACTACATTTAAACACAATTAGATTCAAATTACCACTTTCTTTTTAGACCCAGACCCTCCACAGAGGACATTTTGTGTAATTACTTAAAAACTATGGGATCAGAGCTAAAAAAAAAAAGTTATAATTTATACCTTAAAATTAATTTTCTTGTATCAATATCTAAATGGGCCTACAGGCTGTAAGCTGAAGCAACAGTCCATTTTCAATTGCAGGGCCCTACATGAGAAGGAAGAACGGCCCAAGGGATCTTTGTCACGCACTCAGTTCTTTGTAATTGCTTTCTTCTGCAGCTTTGCCTACTATGTTTTCCCTGGCTACCTCTTTGAAATGCTCACTTCCATCTCTTGGATTTGCTGGTTATTCCCAAAATCCATCCTGGCCCAACAGCTCGGTTCGGGCCTACATGGGCTTGGTATTGGAACTTTTGGGCTTGACTGGTCCACTATCTCGTCCTACCTTGGAAGCCCACTTGCAAGCCCATGGTTCGCCACTGCCAATGTAGCCGTAGGATATTTCTTTGTCATGTACGTTTTGGCTCCCACATGTTATTGGCTCAATCTCTTCAACGCCAAAACCTTCCCAATTTTTTCGGATAAACTATTCACATCAAACGGTCAAAAATACAATACCACATCAATCATTGATTCCCATTTCCATCTTGACATTGCTGCCTTTGAGCGAGAAGGCCCACTTTACATCAGCACATTCTTTGCAATGTCTTATGGTGTTGGTTTTGCTGCTCTCACTGCCACAATTGTACATGTTGCTTTGTTTCATGGAAGGTAACTTTTATTGTCTCAGCAAATTTTTTTACAAGTTTTCTTTTGCTACGAGTGTTAAACATTGAAAAATGGTGATCATCAGTATTTTGTTTTTAATCGTAACGATGCGTGATTTCAAGAATTAACATGTATCCCTGTAATTTGTTTAAAATAAATGATAATACGTGTTATTTATTAATCTTTATATTAGGAACAATGCTATATGTGTCTCACGGTAGCATTTTAACCGATCGCACATTCACATGCCAATTGCGGGACTCCGGTTATCTAACCATATTTCTTATGTTATTAGAGCATTATTTTGGTTAAACCTCACACCTCAAGTGGCTTGTTCGGACATGGATTAAACAGCACAATGAGGATAATCTTTGCATCTGAGAATTTCAGGGAAATATGGGAACAAAGCAAATCAAGTTTTAAGGAGAAAAGAATGGACATACACACAAAGCTCATGAAGAAGTACAAGCAAGTGCCAGAGTGGTGGTTTATAGTAATCCTTTTGGGAAACATTGCAGTCACTGTGTTTGCCTGTGAGTACTACAACGAACAGCTTCAGTTGCCTTGGTGGGGTGTCTTGTTAGCTTGTGCCCTTGCCTTTGTGTTCACCCTTCCCATTGGCATCCTCC